TATGTTCCTGTTATCCCTAGTTTTTCTAGTGTTTTGAACATTAAGGGGTGCTGTATTTTGTCAAATGCTTTTTCTGCAACTATTGAGATAATAACATGATTCTTTGAGTCTAATGATGTGATGAATTACATTTATTGATTTTCTTATGTTGAACCAACCTTACACACCTGGGATGAATCCCACTTGATCATGGTGCAAGATATTTTTGATATGTTTTTTGTATTCAATTTGCCAGATTTTATTGAGAATTTTTGCACTATGTTCATAAGAGATATTGGTCTAAAGTTTTCTTTCTTTGATATGTCTTTGCCTGGTTTTGGAATCAGGGTGATATTGGCCTCATAGAATGAGTTTGGAAGTGCTGCCTGTTTTTCTATTTCCTGAAATAAATTGAAGAGTGTGGTACTAGTTCTTCTTTAAAGGTCTTGTAGAACTCAGCTGTGTAACTGTACAGTCCTTTTCTTGGTTGGTAGGCTTCTGATGGTGTCTTCTATTTCATCACTTGATATTGGTCTATTTAAATTATGTATATCTTCCTGATTCAGTCTGGGCAAGTCTTATGACTTAAGAAATTTGTCAATGCCTTCACTATCTTATATTTTATTAGAATATAAGTTTTCAAAATAATTTCTAATTATCCTCTGTATTTCTGTAGTGTCTGTTGAGATATTACCTTTTTCATCGCATATGCTGATAATTTGAATTCTCTCTCTCCTTCTCTTCCTTAGCATAGCTAAGGGTCTGTCAATTTTATTTATTTTTTCAAAGAACCAACTCTTTGTTTTGTCAATTTTTCAATTGTTTCTTTTGTTTCAATTTCATTGGTTTCATCTTTAATTTTAATTATTTCTTGCCTTCTACTGCTTTTGCTGTTGATTTGTTCTTCTTTCTAGGGCTTTGAGATATAAAGTAAGGTCATTTATTTGTTTATCATTTGTTTATTATTTCTTCTTTTAAGGAATGAACTCCATGCAATGAAATTTTCTCTTAGAACTGCTTTCATAGTGTCCCAGAGATTTCTATATGCTGTGTCTATGTTCTCATTTATCTCTAAGAATTTTTTAATCTCCTCTTTGATGTCTTCTGCAACCCTTGTTCATTCAGTAGCATATTGTTTAGTCTCCAGGTGTTGGAGTAATTTTTATTTTTTATTTTGTCATTGGTTTCCAGTTTAATTCCATTATGATCTGATAAAATACATGGTAGTATCTCTACATTTTTGTATTTGCTAAGAGTTTCTTTATGGCATAGTATATGGTATATTTTAGAGAAGGATCCATATGCTGCTGAGAAGAAAGTATATCTGCTTGATGCAGGTTGAAATATTCTATGTATGTGAGTTAAGCCTAAGTTATTGATTATATTATTGTTTTTATTCAACTTTTTTTTGAAGATTTATCCAGTGGTGAGAGAGATGTGTTAAAGTCACCCAAGATAATTGTGTTGTAATCAATTTGACTCTTGAACTTGAGAATAATTTGTTTGATAAACATAGCTGTACCATTGTTTGGGGCATATATATTTATGATTGTTACTACCAGGTTAATCCATATCAGTAGATTAATTAATTATTAATTAAAGCTTTAACCTAATCAATACATGCTTATAACTTGAATGTCTTAAATTGGTGTCTTCATTTGTTTGGGGCACTTTATTCCCTTCTCTTTTCATGTTGCTCCTGTGTCATCCTTTCCAGCTCTGTGGGTCTAGATTGTTATTGTTTTTACTCTATAGGTTTGTAGTGCTCTTGTAGAGTTCCAAGATTTCTCCTTTGCAGGGAAGGACAATGCTAACAGATTCCAATATCAACAATTTGTTGTTATTAAGATATTTACACTTTAGTCTCAATGTACAGAAATGTTGGATTAAATTATTATCTAAAATATAATCAGTAGTTTTCTAAAATGGTTTATAGTTTCTGACAGTGGACAATAACCTGGGGGTGGAGCTTAGGATGATATGCTGAGAAGGTAGGATGTAAGGATATAGAGTCAATATATCTTAGGAAGTATGAAGGAGAAATCTAGTAAAGAGGGTTAGTAGCAAGAGTATAGATAGGAAGTAATTTAGGGTAGGCAAGTACGTGGGAAGACAGTAGAGTACATAAAACAAACACATATATGTATTTAGAAAAATACAGATGTTAAGACAGTAAAATTTGGAGGAGGAAAGAAAAATGAAAGAATAAAAAGAAAAAAGGGCATATACAACACCTCTATATTATATTACTGAGATGACTCAGTCCTCAAAGTCCTCTTTCATGCAAAGGTTTCACATATGTTGGGGATGTGAGGGCCGGAGGATGGAGCGGTAGAAGGGAAAAAAGAAACAAACCAATAAACCAACCAACCAACCAACAAGGGAAGAAACCAGGGTGGTAGCCAGCTTTAGAGATCCGCATCACTCCTGCTTCTCTTCTCATCCTGTAGGTGGCATTGTCTATTGCAAACTGTTGTCTCTGCCCTCAGGATGGTGGAGGTAACCAGGGTGGGAAGATGGTCCTTGCATAGGGTGCCTGGATGCAGGGAGTGGAATCCACCAGTCCCCTGCAGAAAGACTGCACCTTCTGGGTCTCTCTTTCTCTCTCTTAAAAAAGAGAAAGAGAGAAATTTTTTTTCAATATTTATTTTTCAGTTTTCGGTGGACACAACATCTTTTTATTTTATTTTATGTGGTGCTAAGTATCAAACCCAGCGCCCCACGCATGCCAGGCGAGCGTGTTACTGCTTGAGCCACATCCCCAGCTCCTTCTTGGTCTCTTTTTGGGAACTCTCGCTCATGCGATGTTAGCGTGCCTGGTACTATCTCCCTCTCTTGCCTGGAGATTTCCCAGTTCCTGGTCTCTCCCTCTCCCCCAGCAGTTCCCAATTGAGGAAACTCTCACCCCGGGGCTCCCGTGGGCAGCTTCCTGGTAGCACTGCACACCTGTGTAGGGCAGCTACTGTGTTGGGTTTGGCTGCTGGGGAGGGGGGGAAACTGGTACCTGGCTGCTGGAGATCTGATCTGGGAATTACCCCAGCTAAATGCAAGAATGTTGAGCCAAGATGGTGGCGGTCTGCTTTCAGCACCGGGATGTCTGGTGAGGTGGAGAGAGTCTGGTGAGGTGGGGGGAGCCAGGCAATGGCATTGTACTGTGGGTAGATAGCAACTGAATGTCCTGCGTGGGAGTGAAGCGAGTCTTGGCGATCTGCAGGTGTGTTGATAGGTGATTCTGCTAAGGCACTCCACAAGTCTTGCATGGATTGGAACTTTGAGGCTTTGAGTCCTGCTCCAACGCCAGCCATCCTACTCTAATGCTGAGGCCCAGAGCCCCACATGAGGTCACAGCGCTGGTGATTTCTGCAGAGAGCAGCTGGATAGGGGACCTCTAACACTCTTGGAGATATAGTATTCCTACTAGGCGAGATCTGAGTGTCTGGCTGCGCAGGTACAGGGTGGCTCACTGTCTTCCTTCCGCCATCTTGGATTGGATCCAAGAAATTCCCAAATGATTTTTAAAATATATATCTAATATCTGAAACCAACAAAGATGTAGCTTTCAGTTTATATTCCTGAAATTCTCAAAATTCCTAAGGTTGTCTGTAAGGAAACTTGATTTGCATTTCAAAAATTTTTCCAAAGCTGCCAAATTAACACTTTCATAAAAAGACACCCTTTGAGGACTCAAAAACAGGAGGAAAACAACCATTGAAGTGTACACAGAAATTCTCTTCCACTGGGTCAGGTTCCATTTCTTTGCATTTCTCAACAAGCAAGTGCCTTTTACATGTATGTTGAATTTAACTGAGTGTTCTCTGCTCTGAACATTTGCTAAAGTGTGAACATACTGTTAAAGAGAACCAGAGCTAGACAATACAATAGTGAAGGCAGTAAAGATAGATTATATTCAGGAACTATTGCTATAGAGGAAAAAGGGATTTAAGTATAGAACTGGGCTGAATTCTGAATATAATAGGACTAACAGGGATTCACAGGCAAAGAGCAGAGTGAGAAAGAAGGAAGAGGAGGAGGGGTTGCATCCGTAGATAGAAAATTACCAAGAAGAGACATCAAGGGTAGGAGGATTTTTGCTTAGCTGATTTAACAGGGATTCTTGCTAGGCCAGGGTTATCAGAAATGATTCCCTGTGAACTGACTTAGTAGGGTTCTTGCTACAACTGAGCTATGCATACCCTGCAGGGTAGAAACGAGCAACAGGGCCAAAGTTGAGGCCAAGTTAAAAAAGAACTCAGCAAATCTCTACTCAAGAGTCTTTGTCAACATACATATTGCTTTTTTTATATAGTTTGTTATTTAATTCAGAGGTCCCTTGTCTCCTAACAATGAAAAATCACAAGGAAACTCTTGAAAACAGAAACACTAAAAAATATTTTACATTTTAAGGGTTTGTAAAAACCATGGAGAATTTAAGAACGACAGAATAAGTAGTGAAAAGTCATAGTAATTAACATGAATTAGACAAGATAAAAGTGACTGAAAAAATTTAACTAAAAAAGTTAACTATGAATAAAATAATATCATCAAGAATATAATCAAAGGATGATAACTATAATGTATTATAGCTTAAAGGAACTCTAGAGATTATCTTCTTATTTTACGATGAGATACTTGAGTTCCCCAAAATATACAGATCTTTTAGTGGAACATCACTCTGGTTATTACCAATTGTTTAATGAGAACAGGCTAAGAGGGACCTACAGTTAGGTTATAGTCTCACTATATCAAGAGCTTCTTGATTTTCACTCCAATTCAATTGTAGTGGAAATACACTCAAAATTCAAATATATTTATTCTAGAGAAATATCTGTCATTATTTGCCTTCTTTTCCCCCTTAAGAACTATGTCTAATTATCATTTTGTGGCTCATATAATATAATCAGTCACTCACATAAATGTGTTGTTCACCAGAACCTATTAAAAAAGATTGGTGAACCAAAATGAATGGGTTATTAGTGAATTGCTGATTTTTTTATTAAACTTAAACTTATTTTTATTTTCAGCAATGACAATGCAGTTTATCAGTCATCAGTTTCCTGATTATCATGACCCCACTATAGGTGAGTAAAAATCTCTTTTCCCCTTAGTCCAAATAAAGACACTCTAAATAAGTAGCCTGTTGATGTTGATAATGACGTTGAAGAATAAATAATTGAATTTATTGTATGATGAACACACACACATTGTGTAAATTTTCACAATATTTGTCTTTATATCTTGTAACACACTCTAATAATTTTTTATTATTATTCTGTTAAATGATGGTTAGAATCCATTAAGTTGATCTTAGGATCCAATAATGGATATTTACTATTAGAGAAACTCACTTGAAAAACTGTTGTCTAGTTAATATAGGTGACATGATTATATAGGGACTTGGTAATTTGCTTCCTGTTTACCAGTCTTTGAATTTTCTGTTGTAGAATTGATTAACCATGTTAATGGCACATTTGGAGAAGTCATTAGATGTAGACATAATTTTATCCAGCATCCTCATCTTACAGATGAGGAAACTATGACTTAAAGAGTCAAAATATTGTAAAAGCTCCCAATTCAGCCAAGTTTTATTCCCTTATGCAGTTTTCTTTCATAGTGCAGTACAGAAGCATTGCACTGGGAAAGATTTCTCATTCATTCAAAGTAGGAAAAATGTCTTTAAATTTGCTTTATTCATAAAGCTATTTTAAAGAATAGATTGAAATTTTTCTAGCACAGTTCAAGAAAGTCATCTTTGCTTAGAAACACACCAAGTGTTATTTCCCAGAGAGGGAAGCATAGATCTCCAGGGCCCTTCATGGCTGATTCCTTGACTCTTGGAGGGTGAGCTCCATTAATGACTCCCCATTACTTACCTCATTTATTTTCTCAATTTTTATATGTCTTGTCCTTGCCCCCTGCCTGTGGATAATATCCTCTAGTTTCCATCTGCTAATCAAGGAATTTTGATTTAAAATACATAAAATATTATCCTATATATAATGCTCCTGTATTTCTTCCAGTAGGTCCTAGAGAATATTTGCTTGAATACTGTACTGAAATGAAGAAAATGCATGAATTTTTAAATGTCTTATAATTCATTAAGATCTCTTCATTAGGTAAACAGAATCAATAAGATTTAAATACAATTGATTGGTACATTGTTGACCAAGAAGGCCTTCCCCAAGGAGTTTTTGTGTCTCTGAGAATAATCACTTAATAAAGTTTTAGAAGTGTTTCGGTATAACCCTTGTTTGATAAATTTCTAAGTCTGTTTTCTAAATATCTAGAGTACCAGTAGTTTTGTACCACTTAAATGTGAGTTACAGAAAAGGGGAACTCTCTGGCCATAAGTTCTGAATCTTGTATCTGTTGGAAAATTGCATAATATAATTTATGAAATCACAAGCTCGCTCTGCTCTTTGTTGTTTTCTGTGATTATTTAAATTGCATATGTATCCCTGTCTCAAAAACTTGCCTCTTGCTCACCAGCTTATTGTGTCTAATAGCTTACATAGGACAGTGAATGTGAATAAACCATAAATGGCTCCTTCAAGAGAAAGAAATAAGGATGTGATGGTTTCTTTAGATATTCACATGGCCCATCCATCATTTGAGATTAAACTAACTGGACAGCCACTACTAACAGGTGGCTAACATCATAATTTTATCTACTATTAATAAAGTAGCTAGCTTTAAAAGAAAAAGTTTGAAAATAGAAAGATTATTTTATTACTTTCTGTTCGATTTTCCCATTATCTCATTTCTTATCTTCTCTAATGGGAACATTAGTTAACAATTTCCCATTGGTATCCTGCTTGAAGAAGGTCAAAGTCCCAAGTAATTTTCTCTTCACCAGCTCTAACTACATAACTGTAACTCAGTCTGGCTTCCTTAATCATCCCTCAGGAGAGAATTCATGTTAGTACATTTTGAAAATCTTACAAATTGAAGAAGAATAAGCATAGTTATTTCATGACTTAAATAGTAAATGAATATTCTTTAATCCCTGTTTGGATCTGTTTATCATCCTGACTGAGATTTTTTTTTTTTAATTTATTTATTTATTTATTTTTTACATACATGGCAATAGTGGAATGCCTTACACTCATTATTACCCATGTACAGCATAATTTTTCGTGACTCTGTATATAAAGTATATTCACAACAATCCCTGAAATATTTGAGTCATTTGTAGGTTTTTATTTTCTCCCCCATCTTCAAATTAGAATCATCCTTTTTTGAAACTTTATAAACTCTGAAATTTTATATTTTATTCATAATAAGAATCAGGGCTATTATTAGGTTGTGTCCTATCCAGAGAAATAATTGATCTTATTTCTTGGCAAGCATTTTGGTGATAGACCAATGATTTTGGTTTCTAAAATTCACAGAGTATGCCTAAGAAAGGGATATATTTAAATGTATTGATTCAATTCTTCTAATGGGAGAAAAATTCATGTAAAATTTAAACTATGTTCCTTTAATAGACTTAAATATGGGTAAATTCAAGTTTTAATTTAATCTTTAAAATGGAACATCTCTGAGCATTAGACATGGCACCAATTACAGCTGATTTTTCCATAATAAAGTTATTATAGAGATAATAAGAGACAACATTTTTACCAATGGACTGGTTCTAAGCTTTCATGTTAATAAACCCACATGCCATATTTAAGTAATGACTCATTAAAAATGACCATTGTATGCCATTCACTTGGCAAAAAATAAATACCTACTCTTTGGAAAGCAATCTGTTTGTCCTCCAAAAATAAAATATTGAAATAGTACATTTCAAGCCCTGGATGAATTCAGCCAGAGGAGTTAATGCAAATACACAGATATTTGTAATATTTTTGAAGTTAGCTATTAATATAAGAAAGAAGTCAACACTGTTTAGAAAGGGTTTTGAAAAGACTAGGCGGCTGTTAAACAGCTCTCTCCTCAACTATATTCACTGTGAACTAGGATCAAGCTCTCCACACTTTTCAAAAGCCAAGAAACTCCTGCCATCTTTTCTAGAATACAGAAATCCTCCTTCAAGGAAACCTTTCAGGAAATACCAGACTTCTTAAATACTTTTGAGAAAATGACATGTGAATGCTTGTCATGGTATGCCTTTTTAGGTTCATTATAACTTGCTTGAGGTGGAAAGTCTGAAGGTATAGAATTCTAATGGAATATAAATTAAAAATCAGATTATTGATTTTTTTCTACAACAGATGAGCTCCCTTTCCTTGAAACCAAGAATGTAATAAAAGATATCAGGTTCTGCATTTTACTCCAAATTATGGTTTAATGAAAACTGCCTATGTTGAGAATTGTTTCTGCTGATGTTTATTGTCATGCACAGGAAGGCAAACACATAAGCACAGACAATAGGGTCACCTCATTTGCAAATGAATGCAGAAGGAAACATAGTATTCACAACCAGTGTACCCTGAAAAAGATGCCCTAGTCCTGGATGGGCTTTTCTGAAGTCTGGAGGATTTGTGTTTCCCTGTAGTTACACAGTTCCTTAACTTTGATTAAGTCACATATGTAACTAGTGATTATCTCCTACACTCCTTAAAAATGGTAAACACAGCACATGCAGAGGTCAAATGGAGTCAGTGCTGTCCAAGCACTTCAAGACAAATGGAGAAGAATTAAATGAGACCATACAGTGAATAGAAAAGCACAAGGCATGGCAGGAGTGTAGCAAGGTAAAATCCACTTGCCTTGAAGACAGGGAAGCTTTTTGTCAAAAAACAAAATTACAACCATTCAGTTGTAGACCTAATCGACTTTTGTTCACCAACAATTTATGAATCTGGGCACCCTTATTCTTCCAAATAGAATGAGAGCTCCCTCTGGACAATGGCAGAACAGCATGCTTTTTATGATGAGGACAAAGAAACAGAATGTTTTAGTCAGCTTTTGTGGAACTGTGACCAAAAGACCTGGCAAGAACAACATAGAGAAGGGAAATTTTATTTGTGACTCATGGTTTCAGAGTCTCGGGCCATAGCTGACTCCATAGATCTGGGCCTGAGATGATACAGTATATCAGAATGGCGTGGTGAAGGAAAGCAGCTCAGAGAGCTCTGCTCATCAGGGACAAAAGATAAACCCAAAGGCATGCATCAGTGACCCACCTCTCTACTTGCCTAGTATTACCACGAGGTTAATCCATTCCTGTAGATTAATTAATTATTAATTAAAGCTTTAACCTAATCAATACATGCTTATAACTTGAATGTCTTAAATGAGGTTTTCTTTTCTTTTAATATTATTTTTTAGTTGTAGATGGACTCAGTATCATTATTTATTTATTTTTATATGGTGCTGAGGATCGAACCCAGTGCCTCACACATGCAAGGAACACACTCTACCACTGAGCTCCAGCTGCAGCCCAAATGAGGTTTTCATCAGAGCATTTATTGAAATATACCTTTGGCACTTTTATTTCCACTCTTTTGTCTTTCCTCCTTCTAATCTAGCATATAATCTGTGTCCCATCCACTCAGGATCCTGAGGTATTGATTTCTGCCTGCTCTTCACTTTGCAGGTTAGCTTCCAGTTTTGTGAATCAGGAATGTTGTACAATTTCATTGTGGAAACGACAGTCTTAACCTTGGAAAGTAACCTAGTGGTAAAACGTATATGAGCTTCGCCATCCAACAGAAATGATTTTTGAATCCCTCTTGCTAGCATTGAAGCAAAATTGCTAAACATCTCTAAGCCACAGCTGACACACTTGGAAACTATATCTACTTCAGAATACTGTGAGAGTTAAAAGCAAAGTATGTCAAACTCTTACAGTAATTCTTGGCATATTGTAAGTAGGGGTGCCAGAATTAGCTAATAAAAATACAGAATTCACAGTTAAGTTTAAATTTCAGACAGATATTATTTTTGTGTGTGTGTGTTTAAGTCAGCTAATTTGCTGCTGCAAACAAAAGACCTGACAAGAACAATTAGAGGAGGAAAAGTTTATTTTGGGGATCACATTTTCAGAGATGTTAGTCCATAGATTGTTGACTCCATTCTGTGGAGCCTGAGGCAAAGCAGAACATCACAGTACAAGAGTGTGGTGGAGGAA